GTTTACTATAAAATCACACGTTGAGCAAAGTACAAAGCCTGTATACCTACTCTCTTAAAATGAATTAGTCAAAAATAACTAATTATAAGTCATATTTGACTAATTGTCATAGTGAAAAAGCAGTCACTAATAATTAGTCAAATTCCACTGAATGAAATAGTCAAATTAGTAAATTTAAATTTAAAAAAAGTTTTGACCCAGCCTGGGATTGAACTCAGGTCTGTCACTTGACATTGTCAAGTTGACAAGTTTGTCAAGCTAACGTCTTAACGCATTCGGCTGTCAGCCCCTCTTATAAAAATTAATTTTATTTGTCAATAAATATGCTTCATAATATTTTAAAATTTAATATATTATTTGTCTTGCTATTTTGAGCTAAACTTTTTGCATCTTTATTTGTTTTATGGGTTATTTAACCATGGAGAGGTATATGCATTTAATTCAAGTAATACTTTGTTGTTGGCCGTAAACGACTAAAGAAATTAGTTACTTTTAACTGTCAGAAATAGTCAAATATGGTGACTAATCTTAAATTAGTCAAACTTTAACTATTTACATAGTAAAAAATAACTATTTAAAAGTGAAAACGACTATTTTATTAGTAAAAAATGCTTTTACTAATTCAAATAGTAGAATTTTGACTATTTCATTTTTAGAGAGTACATATATTTTAAGTATATATAGTAATATGTTATTTTTCAGTATTTCAAGTAAAAATTACAGTTTAAAACCCTCCTGGACTCCAGGACCTGGAGGCGTTGGGGTTGAACACCGAAAACCCCCTTGCGCACGAGCCTAGGCGCCTGTTATTGGTGCAGCACTAAGTCTGTGGGTAAAAGGCATACGGGAATGAGTAAAAAAGCAATTTACATGACGTGCTGGCAAAAGCGCATGTATAAGCTTTTGTTAGCATATGCCATACAGTGCTTGCAATATCAAGTCAATATCAAGTCCATAGAAATAATACTAAGTATTATTTCTATGATCAAGTCCGACCGCACTGGAAAGGACGGCTGTTCAATACCCGCGTGAAAAGAACAAGAATAGAACGCCAAATAGAATTTGATTGGCCAGCCGGCAGGCTACGACAACGCATACCCATCGCGCACCTCGCAGCGTGCTTGATTCAGAACGAGAACTGCAGTGGTGCCAGCAAGAGGTAGTAATTTAGTAAAAAAGATTATTTAATTAAAAAATGTACACGTTGGAACAAAAAGTTCAGATTTTAATCTGGCATTTTGCTGGTAATTCTGAACGAGAAATTCAAAGATTTTTGTGGGGGTACCTCAAGTCGAAGCTGTACGTTTTCCAGGAAGATCGGGCTAATAACCTTAATGATTTAGGAATCCGCATAACTAATTTGTTGGGGGATATTAGTCCAGAAGTCCTAGCTAATGTGCGTGGGAATTTTTATAATAGGTTAGGCTATTGTTTGGCTGCCTATGGGGGTTGTTCGAACATTTAATTTAATTTTTGAGTTTATTTATTTTTATTATTTATTTTTAGAGTTTTATTTTTATTTATAGTTATTTTTATTCAGAATTATTTTTTATTTGAGAAATCTTTTTTATTAAGAATACTATTTTTGTTGTTGCCCTAGTTCTCAAGGAAAAAATCAAAAAATTTTATTTTTAGGATTCGGGTATAAAATATTTAAAAAGAAAATTAAAATGTGCATCTACACTATAACGCAGTTAAATTTGACTAAATCATTTAGTCTAAATTCAGCCAGACTGGCTGCCAGAGTTGACCTCGCTTACAATTCGCACGCATCCGGCAGCCGGCTCTGGCCAATCAAATTCTATTTGGCGTTTTATCCTTGTTCTTTTCACGCGGGTATTGAACAGCCGTCCTTTCCAGCGCGGTCGGACTTGATATTGCAAGCGATGCACGATAACATTTATGGGTCTTTTACTAAAAATATTGAAAAATATATGTATAAATACTTATTCTCTCTATATAAATACTTCTATGGGTATTTTTTATTTGCTACAAGGTCGGTAAAGTAAAAAAAAGTGGCGTAATTACAAGCCTATTAAAAGAAAACTTATACATTTTAAAAAGCCAGCGGATCTGAAAATATTTAAAAAAAACTAAAAACCTTATAAAACCAAAAATCTTTATTTCTAGGAATTTTGAAAAAAAAGTACATTTATATATGTACATAGGTATGTATATACACACATTAATCTACATTTTCATCACATTTCTTCGCTACTTTATATTTTAATTTACCTATGATGACCGCGGCCATTACTTATGTAGTCTGATACATTGTTGGATTCCATGATTTTTTTCTAAACATGTAAAATTCCAATATAGCGAAAAAAATCCTCAATTGGGTAAAAAGGTAGATAAATGTGTATGTTTACATATGAAACTAACTTTTTTACAAAATTCCCCTTTGACTGTATCGTTTATTGTTTATTTATTTATTGATCGTTTTCCTTGTATACACGCCTCTTTTAATATCAGGTAACGTATACAGGTTCTTTTATGTAATGGATTACGAGTTTTGGAAAAAAGATTTGCATTGTTAAATCCTAAATCCTTTATGAATTAATAGTAAATAAGCTAAATGATATACTTGTCTTGTTCAGCTATTTTTAATTTATGCCATTAAACAAAAAGAGCTGAAAATGTAAAATGAAAACCTTGTCTTAAAATTAAAAGTTGGATTTTTATTTGTTACAGGCCAACAAGACAAAACTAATTTTATTGAGTAACTACATACACCCTTCCGACGTTACATCTAGAAATTTTGTAAGTTAACACTTCGTTTAAAATGCCCAAGGCAATTTTTTTTATCAAAATCTACTTTATTTATCAATATAATCTCCTTATGAGCTCCCAAACACCTGCTAACTACAATAGAAATGTTATAGTATCGATACGGCAAAGTACAGTTAACGAAAAAATAATCTTTTAATACAAATTATTTTGGACCAAATTAAATAGACTAACAGAGCTCTAAATTATAATTTAGAGCTCTGTTAGAATACGATAATTTTAATTTTGTCCAAAATAATTATCAACACATTTTTTTTTAATTTTAAGAAAACGCTGTATCCATATCGAGCAAAGCCTACGAAATTTTACTTTACGAGTTTTTAACGTTTATTGGGGGTCCCATGCATTTAGCACCTTAGTTTTCATCAACAAAATTTAAATGCTGCATATGATGGTTGATTCACCTGCGAATATAAGTAATAAATTATGACTCATAATACATAATTTATTTTTTTTACCCATCATAATTTAAAACACAAAAATCATGTTTTTTATTGTTTTCGAATATCAAATAAATTTATTATCATTATTATAGCTCGGAACTTTTCCAGCGATGACGTCAAAATATTTAGAAAAATCAGACTTAAAAAAGTATACACTCACAATCCACACAACAAGGTCTGTTCGATCTCGTACTAAAAATACTAAAAATCACTGCAGCACTGCATCATACAATGGCGGCCATTTTTGTTGTTTACAATTCTTGTGCTTTGGGTTTGTACAGGTTAATAATCGTTTTAAACGTTGTGTTTCTTACAAGCCTTAAAAGAGACCTCAAAGTGGTAAGAACAATCATTTTACTCCTCTTTTGTAAAAAATAAACCTTATTCTATCAGGGCTGTCAAATGTCAATTTGAAGGTTAATTTAAGGTTATTACAAATTAACCTTCAAATTGACATTTGACAGCCCTGATAGAATAAGGTTTATTTTTTACAGTAAAATGATTGTTCTTACCACTCTCTTATAGGGCTTGCAAGTCTCTCTGTAAGGAACACAACGTTTAAAACCCAAAGCACAAGAATTGTAAACAACAAAAATGGCCGCCATTGTATGATGTGCAGTGTTGCAGTGATTTTTAGTATTTTAAGTACAAGATCGAACAAACCTTGTTGTGTGGATTGTGTATACACTTATCTTAATACATGTGCAAAAAATAACTATAATATCACAATATAATCATTTTTATGTAATCGCTGGAAAACTTCCGCGGTATAATCAATTAAGGATATTTAAATTTAAAAATAACGTTTTTTTGTATAAAGCACCATATACAGGGTGTCCAAAGTTGGCGGTTAAAAGGGTAAAGGTAAATTCCTTTTGAAATTTAAAGAATAATTTTTTTCGAAAGAACTCGTATTTGTTCGAAAATAGATAGGAAACCGAGATTAAAAATGTATACTTTGTTACACCCTATACATGGTGGTAACGAAAGGTTGTTAAAAAATTTACCATCTCAAAATAATATTTTTAAAATCTGGGAAGATAAAAAAGTAAATTTGGTATGAATATCTAACATTTTATGCCAAACTTACTGTAAATAAAATAAAATTTTGGCAAAGGGGGTCCCGAGCAGGGTTTGACTTTCTACTACCTGGTAAATTTTTGTATGCGTATATGTGTGTGTCAGACCGAAACCTTTTTGAAACTTTATAAGTGTAATATCGTCGGGTTACTACAAGGTAACTCCATTAATTAATTTTTTGACTTAAGTACATTTTTTAACTTATAATTGTTTCTACAAGTACAACTCAACTACGAGCATAACCGAATCGGTTAAACCGATTAATGTCGAGGGCAACAAAAATGGTATAACTCCATTTTTAGTTAAAAGACCAAATGAAAATAAGTTTTGAATTCAAATTACTCAAAACAGTGTTTTGGGAGTTATCTGGTTTTTGCAGTAACCCGACGATATACGTAGTAGTTTTTATCAAAAATAATGAATTAAATTTATTTTTAGGTCATTGTTTCAGTATTACAACTAATGCAAAATAAAATATCTTTAAATGCAAGCAAACTTTTTTCCATAAATTATGCATTTTTATTCTCAGTAAGCTATTTCTGTTTTTTCATTAACAAATAGTTATATATTTTTTTAAGGTTGGAGCATCAATATCTTCATATCTATTTATTATGTTACAATTCGAATGGGCCAGCCAAAAAACTAAACCTTTAAATATTACAAGTATCTAAGATAATTAAGACTCACCTATGGCATCTAATTTTGAAACAATAGTAAATAATAATATACTAAATACTATTCGATGATACGCCATTGGAAAAATCTGGAACTAAAAAAGTGTTTTAGTTTTAAAGTTGGTAGTATTAAATTAAATTAAATGTCTTTAACCAATTTTTTAAACATACAATTTACAGTTATACGATTTTTTTAATATGATTAGGATGTTTAATAGTAATGTTGTTAAATACCTAACTGTTTTTGGGAATAATTATAACTATACATTATATGTATATAAAACTATATATTCGCCAATTAATTACGTTTAATACTTAAACAAATACTATATAAATAAAGTAAGGTTTAACTTAATATTTAAATTAATTCATATTAACAAAGTTTTATTAACTGGTTAAAGTTATATTTAATCTTTTATAACTGTTAATTGTTATTTTAGAACAATATGAAAATAATAGGGGATTTTAAAGTAATTTACAAAATAATATTTGTTAACATTAAATACTTATATGTATAAATGCAATTGATTTATGAAAAAGAACAGTTTTACTCTCTTAAAGATGCCTCGTGATTTTTTTAACATGATAAAAGTTAACGGTTTAATGTGGCAACGCAGCAGACTCGTGTAAATGTCCCGTTTACTTTTAAATCCATTCACTTATGTATTACGTGTGTTTTTCAATATGCAAGAATTTATAAAATTATAAATAAATTAAAAATATACATATGGATATATTTAAATTTATCTTTAAAACAATATTTTATGATCGAAATTACCAATGCATAGGAATATACCTTTAAACAAAAATATAACCGGAAACCATTCAACAATTATTTCAAAGTTACCACTCCCCATTGCTATACAAACAAGATTGTGACTCACCGAGGTCCAATAAAAAGGATTTGGTTTAATTTTAAGTTACAGATTAAATCTTAAACAGATATAAGTTATTTACGATTTGTACGTAAAAGTAATTTAAAATATTATCAATAAATGTTTTTTCTTTATTACCTATCTTAATAAGTGGCGACTCATGGGTAGTGCCACGGAGCCATGAGACCACCTTTCTTATCTTAAAAGTATCTAATTTTATGCATTTATTTATTTTTATAAGTTTTATAAGTTTATATGAAGTTTGGCAACCGTGAGGATTCCGCACTGGCGGGACCACGGGCGGTTCGACGGCAAAGCTGTGCCAATTTTATTCAGGCTCTAATGAGTGTTGGCGAATTTTTAATTATAAAGTTGAAGTATGTTACAATAAATAAAATTAGCATCCTAATAACTCTTTTGGCCGTTTTCGCTAAAAAAAAACCTACAAAAGAATTAAACCGGCCTACACCCGATTTAAAAATTGAAAAACAAAGTTGGCGAAAATCGCACGGTCTTAAATTTAATCAAACTATTTATGATAAAAATAATTGGTTCTGTGGTTGTGTGGTTGCGAAGAAACTTTTGCTTTTGCACCATCTGCGAACATTCTGGATCTACCTTAGATCTATACGAGCTGCCACTGCTACCTATTACCGTTAAGTAAGAGATTTCTTCAATCACACCTATAATAATATATTTATAAATTATGAATACAATTTTTAAAAACTTATGTCCAGAAAAATAAGTAGGGGAGACCGGGGTAGAACGGGGTACCGGGGCAGACGATCGATAGTACTATCGTCCTTTGTTATCATTTACTAGAAGGCCAACACGTCAGTTGGTAATGACAAACGGGTTACTTCAAACGTTTTAGTGTGTTTTAGACTAAACGTGGTGAAATTTTGCTTAGTACTTTTCGATATATATATATATTGTATATACCCATTTTAAGCTTCATTTGAGGGTTGGATTTTATGCACACAGTGTCAAAAGTGGGCTCACAATTCGTGTGCGGGGATAGAGATTGATGACAACGATGCATGCAGAACTTGTCTGTGAATTGTGTAAGCCCGATAACCCCATTCTGCCCCGATGGCGCACACTGGGAGGAATTTCAAAAATCGCGGACAAAACCCTATTTTGTAAAAATCAACATAGTAAATTTTAAATTACGAGTTATAAAAAAAGAAAGCACAGAGATTATGATTAAAAAAGATATATATTTTTTTATGATAAAATGCCCGCTTAAACTTGCTTAAAAAGTTACATTGTTCGTGTCGGTTTTTTAGAGCAAATTGTATGTAAGTTTTTAAGCCCATTTTTGTTTTGCCTAATTAATGAAAGGAAATGATGGTATATTTTACCACATTCCTTATCCTTGTTCTTTCATATAAAAGTCTAAAATTGCAAATTTTACCATAAATACGGTTTTTATAAACCTTTTACCATCGTCTTTAAAAGTAGATAAATCTTTTACAAACCACAAGATATTTCTTTAGGTGTGCCTTGGTGTGAGGCAAAGTATTTGGTACCAGAACGTTCGTCAAATTTTCTTTTTTTAAAGTCAAAAGAATTAAGCTGCCTTTTTTTGCCTGTTTGGTCCACAGAATATGAAATATGTCCATGAATTTATCATATTAGTCGAATATTTATAAGTCATCATAGTTGCCTTTTGCTAGTTCTAAAACGTCAGTTTCTAGTGAAAGTCAATCATACATACAATCTTATAGTGTTTTTGTGTTTATTAACGCTTTATAATAATATTTGGTAAGTTATAATATTAATATAAATATTACATGTTTATTTGAATAACTTGCTTCTTTTTATGTATAAATGCTATTAACGACTAATAAGAAGTTGTATGAACTTATTAAAAATGTTAGTAACAAAGAAAAACACAACAAGCTTTTAAAGTATCTAACCGAAAACCTGAATATTATTGATAAATCTTATAGTGTCCCCTGAATCCGAAAATATCGTCAAAAGTTAAAAAAGTAAAACAGTTTTTGAGATATAGTCAATTTTTCATTTAATATGGAATTGACTATATTTCAAAAACTGCTCCACTTTCATAATTTTTTATGGCATTTTCGGATTCAGGGGACAATTTTACATAAGAATTAGATGTTAAATTTTGGGATACCATTAAAAAAGCAGCCAATAATAACTATTAAATTAGTCATTTTTGACTAATTCATTTTTAGAGAGTATAGGTAAAAAACGTGGATTTAACCGGTTTTGCTTTAAAGTCAACTTTTAAATGTTATTTTAACATCGATATAGGGTTTTTTGGACCAAGTCACTTTAGTAGTCGATATAAATAAAGCAAAAGATGCGAAATTTACAAAGAAAAGATGTATCGAAAAAAATGTATATAAGTGATTTTGCTCGACTATTTCCCTCGTCTTAATTTCCACCAATCACAAACGCGCAATTTTGAATTACTGAAAAAACTGTTTGACAGCACCTGTCAGCAGTTTATTCGAGTTTACCCGCGGCAAAACTTGACAGCTGTTGTCACCAAAAATTGCAATTTATATTTTAATTGTTAACTGTTACTCATGAAATAGTCTTGTCAAATACCATTCGGGCATCTAATTTTTCCTGTGAAAAAAATCGAAAAAACACAATGCTAAGTAATATTTTTTAACAAAATGCATTCGTGCAGGTGCAAAAATCCTCCTCTTCGACTCGGATTTTTGTGCCACCAGCACTCATGCTTTTTGTTAAAATATTACTTAGCAACGTGTTTTTTCGATTCTTTTCGGAAAAATTAAATGCCCTTATGATATTACTTACGAATATACTTTAATTGTTATTGTTTTTTTTTGTTTATTTTTCTATTTTTAGCTTAGGTAATATTGCGTAATATATTTGTTTATTAATTTATGTTTTTGGAAAATGGAGGATCGACAATACCGAACTTTTCCAAATTGTTTAAAACAAATTTGTGAATTTGTGTACATAATTAAAACATTTTATTAATATTAATATTTTAGCATAAATTTACAACCGCATAAACCTTAAAATGGCTTAAAATAATGTGTCCGTAATTTTGTCCGCGATTTTTGAAATTCCTCCCACTGTGTGGCGGGGCGGAATGGAGTAAAGGACACTTTTTTTAATACGATAATAAACAAAATTGTTAAGCATTTATGTTATTTTTTTGTATTTTGTTTAAAATACTTTAATAAATCGTTCTGCTGCCCCATTCCGACCCGGTACATAATTGAGCACTTTCAATAAGTCAAGCAGTTTATTTTATATTAAATAATGAATTATTTTTTAATAAGCATATGAATATAAAAACTGATTACATAATGCTAAAATAATAATAGTACTACACTACTTTACAACTTTTACCTGGTGCATATTTTAGGGTGCACAATTATAAACTAAGAGATATGGCTATGCTGGATAGCCATTATATTGTTTATATACCTAGTTTTTTGTTTTATTTTTATTACTAAATATTTTTTGTGATTTTGTTTGTTTTGCTAATTTAATAAATATTTTTTATGCTTAATTTCAGCAGTTTTTGTTTTATATTTTCAATTACTTATTGCCAGTTTGTCGCAAAATATATGTTTTTTAAATTTTAGGGCTTAAAACTAAAATATTAAATGTATTATAAATATAAAAGGGGCGCACCAAAGAATGCTGCACGTAGGCGCCAAACACCCCAGGAACGGGCCTGTGTTGGCGAATTTTCGTAAGTAATATCATAAGGGCATCTAATTTTTCCGAAAAAAATGGAAAAAACACGTTGCTAAGTAATATTTTAACAAAAAGCATGAGTGCTGGTGGCAACAAAAATCCGAGTCGAAGAGGAGGATTTTTGCACCTGCACGAATGCATTTTGTTAAAAAATATTACTTAGTACTGTGTTTTTTCGATTTTTTTCACAGGAAAAATTAGATGCCCGAATGGTATTTGACAAGACTATTTAATGAGTAACAGTTAACAATTAAAATATAAATTGCAATTTTTGGTGACAACAGCTGTCAAGTTTTGCCGCGGGTAAACTCGAAAAAACTGCTGACACGTGCTGTCACACAGTTTTTTCATAAGTAATATCATAAGGGCATTTAATTTTTCCGAAAAGAATCGAAAAAACACGTTGCTAAGTAATATTTTAACAAAAAGCATGAGGGCTGGTGGCAACAAAAATCCGAGTCGAAGAGGAGGATTTTTGCACCTGCACGAATGCATTTTGTTAA